TTTTAGGAGGTTAGCAACACTTTCACTTTCAATATTTCTCAATACAACCTTTAGACCTCCGCTCTCCAACTTATGCATTCCATAAACTGAGGAACCACCAGGGCTTTGAACATCGTCCTTCAGCTTAGCCGGATGCGTACCTTAATTTCATATTATATTTTCAAACTTCAAAGCCCTTCCACATCCTGTTCCTGACAGTACTGTAGGAAATTTCAAATGATAGTGAATGAAAACTTGCATCCCTTGGCTCAAGGAATAAGAATAAAAGATGAAGTCTTGAGGTTTTATTCAATTCTGCCAGAGGGGCGCTCCCACGCATTCGACTTACAATTGGAAATGTAGTGGCGTAATGAATGCGTATGTGGCCTATACAATATTTGGGGTGGCCAGCCGATGTACATGTCAGTGCTTTTATCCTACCAGACGAGTTTGGTACTAATTTACAGGTCTCGTAGGTATGGAAGGCCTGGTTGGCCGAGGCGTATATTGGTCCAGGAATCGAACCCATGAGCTTAAGGATTGGTGTTAACATTACAACACCTAGCTTTCATTTGGTGGCGTGAAAAATGATGCACCCTATTTTCAGCTCTGGCCATCCAACTTGTTTAATTCAGATAATTTGCGCCCGAAAGAAGAAATTTGCATTATGCAGACGGCCTCTCTGCTACCGTCTCTCCTTCATTGGTGAAGTAGTCTGAAAATCGGCAAAACAACCTAACCCAGCCAGTTTTGTATGTATTCATTAGCTCTGCGTGTTTCAAGGTTTTTTAGTGTTAAGCTCTTCTCAGTGTGCACTGTAAGATATAATGTGCACTGAAAAATTACTAAGAGACTTCGATTTCGTTCATCAACCATACAACAAAGCCTCGCCAATGCTTATGCTTTTCATTACTCCTTTTTCCCATATTAGCACTTAACGCTGTCATTCCTTGCTTCATCGTCTATGGAAAAATGATTTCAATGTAATAGGCTAAACAGACCAGTTTCTAAAACCATTTTGGCAGCTCCGTAAAGTGTATGAGCGGCAAGTTTCAGCGCGAGATCACGGGGTAGGCCTGCTTTAACTCCTCCATCGGCTAGCCCTTCGATGACGGCAAACATCTGCAAAAAGAGGAGCATTTTCTAAAGCAATTAAGCCACGCTCCATAATAAACAAATAAACAGCGACAGGCCGTAGCACTCATTTCACAGTGTTCTGTGTGAATTGAAGGATTAGCGCCTTCCCGTTCTTTATCGTGTAACTCTCATCGCCTATGAACGAAGTATCATTGAGATTTCCGAAACCCAAGCTTTGTCATAACAAAGCTTTAAAAATAAAGCCTAAATTAAATTCAGCAGGTGCTGGCAGCCGTTTTCTTGCCGATGTATCGCTGCTCTGCCAGCTGAGTCATATGGCTGCAATTCTGATACGATTTTGTCAAAGACTTTTTCGAAGATACATATTATCAAAGATGGACAACTCTTCCGTTGATCTAGGGGCAGCATTCTAGCAATGCACGCGAATTCATTCCTCAATAATATATAATATTTCCGTTCTGTACTAGTGATTACTGTTCTCGTTTAGAACACCTATTTCAACAACTCCACCTGGAGCAATTTTCGTCACGTGAATTCTCCTAAACTTAATAATTCGTAGGCGTGAATGCTTGAATGTGATATAATTTCTCTCGGTGAAGAAATGGGAAAACTAGAACGACCGCCACTTCTTTATCCGTCTTTCTCACACTTCTCATCCAACCCTTATGCTGCTTTATTCTTTTACCTCTCAAGGTATCGGCCCATGTCCACTAACGCGAACTAGCCAATATAGAGCTTCTGCTGTCCTAATACCCTCTATTATGGATACAATATCAAACTATTCACTTTTGATAACCAAAGCAAAGTTGAACTCACATAGCTCGGTCCGGATCCAGATAATCCAGTGACTGGGTCAACGTAGGCTTCTGGAACTTCGACTGCGAAACCAACGGTGCTAAGTAAGTCCCTAAAATGGCACCAAAGAGAATGTCAACAGACCAGTGTACCATCTGAAAAAATAGCAACCGAGAGATGGTGGAGATGTTAAAAGTTCAGGCTCGAACCGACTCTTATGAGAACTCCGTGTTCTGATCGTGCCTAATTAAAAATTAATGAATAAGATAAAAAGTTGCGTCGTGCACCAGAAGCAATGCCGTCACCAGTGCCAGAGTCAGTTCGTTAGGCTAGTATGAGAACCCAAGTCACACTGGGAGCATTGTATTTGTATGAGCCTGGAAAAACCCTCCCTCCAGAAAGCGCCACCATCTCTTCACAGCCATCATCGGCGATTTCAACGCCAAGATTGGCCGCAGAAGGACGACTGAAGACATATCGGGACCCATGGAACGGAATGGAATGCTGTCCGAGCTTATTATTGCCGTGGGAAACATATGAGAGTACCGAAGGAGTAGTGAAGAAGACACAGAACATCGAACTCCGCGGTCACTTTCAATGGATGAAGGGTATGTGCATCAGACGAACTTCAAACTTTCACGCTACGTTTGTGAGTCCGCTGTCCTGTCAGCTAAGTCACTGTCGTGTGTCAAAGTAGCTCTCAGCTTGTTGTGAGCTATTTCGGCACAACTATCTACACCACTGTATTCGTGCACTATGATTGAGAATGCTCTTCGAAACATCCTCTACATTGATGGTTCTGATTCCTAACAGCAGGAGCGAACTACGGCAACATAGTTAGTACTGTTGTGCAAATGACTGGTTGATTAGGTTAAAACATAATGTTCCAGCACAGCTATGAATCTGAGGTAAGAGATCCGGTGACTCAG